AATTTAATATATTTTCATTAAATTGATGAAATTGAATAAAAAAAAATTATACAAATTAATAAATGATTTTTTTAATTTCATAAGACGAAAATGCAATTCTCACAAACTGCGAGCTTTGTATCGCAAATGACTTATTTAATTACAACGCTGAGAAACAGTTTCGCGAAACTGACATTTTAAGTGCAATACTAATTTTCCTTTACGTTTAGTTGCAGTTTCACTAATATCTTAATATCTTTTTCAACAAACATTTTTTAAAATCTAAGTGGATTAGTGTTAGAATGTTTTTACATTAGTATGTAGTAATTTATAAGTTAACCTAGTTCGCCTGCGACTCCGTTCGAGTTGAATTAAATTAAAAAAAAAAAGTAAGTAGCCTATGTGTTCTTTCAGACTATGCCAAATTTCATCGAGATCCTTTCAGCAGTTTAGGCTACAAATATCCATCCATCCAATAGTAAGAATAAGATTTATTTAGGTATCAACTTAAAATTGTTTTTATTGATTTATAGCCAACGGTCGATGAGTCAATGTTAAATCTTTACACTTTATTCTATAAAAGCCTTAGAATTATATTTAGGAAAAAAGAAGTTTTCATTTATCATGTTAAGTGGAGCAGCTTTGTTGTCTTGCAATATGTCTCTCGGGGGAACATTTCAGGGATTTTAAATATTAAATTGTCAGACATTTGTAGTAATTTATTATTATATTGACTTTCTAATTGTGTAAAAATATTATTTCATGACTTCGGTTTATAACTACTTAGCTTAAGTTATGTTTCACGAATTATTTTGATTAACCGATTGTTTAGAACTTTGAATAACAACAAAAATTAATGATTATGATTCTGAATAACACCTTTTTTATGAACCTCAAAACACGGGTTAAGGTTCAAAAAAGTTGTCGGATTGGACGAGCGGTTTGTAGAATTCAATCCGAAAGTAGATCAAGTACATTAACAGAGATTAACCAATTGATTTTATAATAACTCAACGCATTATTTCACCATTCAAAGACAACTGTCATCTGTCATTCTAACGTCGTCTTGACATCTATCATGCACGATGCACATTCAGCCAGTACTCATAATTATTAGTTGCCAGTTACTTTAATCGTTCAAAAAGTATCAATAATTTCTATCGTTCAAATAGTTCTAAAGTTCCCAGAGAAGTTTATTACTAACCTTAGTGTTAGTGAATCTGCACTAAGGGACTGGTTAAATGAGAATAACCCTGTTGTCAATTAAAGTTAGTTCACATAAAATGAAAATACAACAATGAAATGCATCACGAACTACCGGTCGATCTGGTTTTGTAGAGGCATGAACAAACAGTAGCGACCACATACGTAATTACAAAGTTAATTTAAACCGCGATCTGTAGCGAGGCAAAACTGCAATGGATATTTATTGTTGATTGTTGTTTAAAATAAACGACTTCCTTACAAGTACCAACGTAAACAGCATCCATTATTTAATTTAATTGCGTATATCACAATGTGACCACACCGCACGTAAAAATTGTAATCTAGATTATTTATAAAACAAATTGTAGTCGATTATAGCTAAATACATCATCAAATTGCCTTCATCATACACAGTATATACAGCTATTCCATACATCTATATCCTCATCAACATGCCCTAATCCCTACAAAAGGTCGGCACAGTATGTTACGCTCTTCCATACATTTCTATCAGTCGTCATATCTGAATTCACTCCCTTCTTAAGCATATCCTCTTTCACACAATCTATATATACTTTCTTATCTTCCTCTATCTTAGTAGTCATCTATATTTTAATACAACTAATTACCATTATTAGGCCTACAATATTTATTATTACTGAGAATATTCCTTTAATAAACTAACCAAGATTAATCCGAAATCTAATATGTAATATGATAAGCTTCAGTTGGATCGTTTATTATTATAACTAAGCCAAATCCTTTGTCCCGTTGTCTTATTGTCTATTTATATTTCCACGGCCCTTGTTCAGCTTATTGTCCCGAAATGATAAGGGTGAACGTTAACTGCATTTATAACAGAAACTATTTTGGCAGGTTGAGTACCAGTTTCGCATAGCTTAGGTCATACGATCCACTCTGAGCTTGCTGCCCATTGTTGTCAATTTGTTTTACTTAGCTTATAACAAAACAGTTTTCTCAATTTTGTGACAACAGTAAACATATTTTTTTAATTCGTTTTTTATTTTATTTATTAAAGAGTATTGTATAGTTTAGTAGTTTTAATACGAAAGACATACGAAGCATAAAGCATTGGTAATCTACTTGACCGCATTTTCAGAAATAAGATTTTTACGTGTCAATTTAATTAGTTTTTATAATGTTACTTGAAAAGTTTTATAGGCACATTAGTTATTAAGAATTTAATGTGTCTTAAGACAAATTACAGTTACTGGAAATACAACTTTTATATATTTCATTAAATTTACATACGGTTATGTTACAAAGGGATACAACGCAAACCTAAATTGCGCGCGTAAACATCGACCAGCTGTGAAAATTGCAGATATAAATTTCTGGACAGCTATTTGCGTTGGGAGAAATATAAGTCTCGCAAAATGTCGTATGAAAGTGTTATTTTTATTAACGGCTAAAAAACATTAGAAGCATGACTTAGGATTCGATAGGATTAAAATTAACAAAACATTTTCGATTTGTTCGTCCTTTTTAAATTAACTATAGTAAGTGTGCACGTGCAGAGTAATAAGACAATAATTATTTACTCATTGGCCAGTGTCATTTCTATAAATATGTACTTACATACAACAATATTTACTATAATATGAAATTAATTTCTAGTCTATATTTAGGCAGCTTTATTAATCCTATAAATAAAGTGAGATATTTTATTCTGTCTTATATCTTTCTCTTGCTAATATTTCAAATTCGAGAGTTTAGATGGAGGGACGTTTGTTCAAGTTTTTAGCCTAAATGGCTTAACGGATCTCTATTAAATTTAAGACGTAGTCTGGTAGAACACATATGCTACTTGTGTGATCCTTGTTTTCTATTTCGACGCGAACGGTGTCGCGGGCGAAAGCTAGTATAAAATAAAAACAAAAAGCAGACTATGAATAAGTGAACAAAGGCAATTACAAAGAAGGCTAAGACAATTCCGCTTTCTTCATAAAGCGTCCAATTTCGAAACGAAGAGCTTATGAGAAAGTAATGAAAGAGTTTTTGTTAAGACCCTTGTTTGTCTTTTCTTAAATAATAAAACTTAATCAAATTACGGAATTATTTCTTCACAATATTAAGATTAAAACCTAATTCAATTTGTGGTTTTCGATTTTAATTAACTAAGTAAAGTAAAGATTTTATATAATAAATAGGAATCTGATATAGTGCGTTATCATTTTTTAAATTCTGCTTATAATTTAAGTAAAAAAAAATTAAACGGACAACACAAATTAAAAATGTTCCATATTTCCGAAAATGATTTATAAAATGTAAAAGGATATGAAAAAAATATTCCTTCGTCAACTTTTCTCTGATATATGTTAGTCTGCGTGAGAAATAGCCCACAATACACTTCACCATCTGGCACTGTATTAACATTAATCAAATTGAGTTATAGTCAGCCAGGCCTAGAGGAATTAAAAATAACACAATATCACATATAAGTTCAGTATAAGAAATTTACACTAAGGTATTCCTTAAGTAACTATGGTATTTTTTTTATAATATAAGGTGGCAAACGAGCAAGCGGCCACCTGAATCCACCGAAATGCCTATAAACAACCGCAATTGCAGATGCTTTGCCTACCCTTAATTGACGGAGGAGGAGACGCACATAAAGAGGACATTTCTCCTTCTCATGCGTCTCCTCCACCGTCAAATCCACTTTTCCTTCCCATCCTTTCCTATTAAGATATAGGGGAAAGGGTAAGGGACTAAAATTAGGCCTCCAGCACCACACTCATCAGACGAAACGCGAAATTGCTTCCACTTCACGCCTGTTTTTTGTGTGGTCGTGGTATTACACCGCGCGAGCCTGCCTTTTCGAGCGAAGAAGTTAAAGAGGGCTCTACCACTGTTAAGACTCACTGGACAGTTGAGTTTACTTTTAAATTAGCGTTGCAATAGAACGTCGCCTTCATCTCAACATTTTAGTGTACCTCCGCATCCGCGTCCGCATTTTTTTGTGTTTAGGTTTTTTACGTTGATTTACAATTGAAGATAAATGAAAATCGACTTGTCACTTTTTCAGTAAATTTTTCAACTTCCATCAAAGTACTTTACCTCCACATCCGCCTCCGTTGAAAAGCCTTCATTACAACCGACGAAACGACACAACAGTTGAAATCATCGTCACCGAAACGACAGTTGAAATCATAGTTAAACAGTTAGAAATGCTAAAGTTAGAGAGTTTAAACACAGTTGTTATTGAACTTTTAGGTCCTTTCTTAGTCCATTACCAGCTGCGAGGATTCTAGAAGTACTTTACTAACAAGAGGATTCATATTCATAGTTAATGTTAAGCACTTACAAGACTAGAACTCAAGTTTTAGGTTATGATTTATTAAACATGTTACTGCTCTGACAAATGTTCATGAGTTTAAAATAAACGAGACTACAAAACTAGAACTAGGTTAGGTATAAAGCTTGTCAACTAAATTAGCTCTTTGACTTGAAGTTAAAAAAATACCTTGTGAACTAATTAACAAGGTCAGTCTAGAGCCCATCAAGGATATTGCTGCTATTTTTACTATTGTTAAATTAGAATAGTATGTTTCTAAAATAGCTAAGCTATGTTTATTGTTAGTTGTTGTACTTATTCCAAGTTATGAGAAAATGTTAGCTATTATCTCAGTAAATGTCTATATTAATTGAATTTTAAACGTAGATTGCATCAGCGATAATTATTTTCTAGTCCAACGGGTTGAGCGAAATGCAATGTTGCCTTTTAATGGCTTTTCTTAACAACGTCACTAAACTTTTATTACTTTGACCTCCATTTTCCGAACGCAAAGTTTACTAATTAATTGAAATCGTAGTTATGAAGATCCTCCATTAAGAAAAGATGATATTTTAAAGATATTTAAGTCAATAACATCCATCGAATGAAAATGATAATATAAGTAAAGCAAATAGGGGAAAGGAGCAAAATCTAGTAGGTATAGTAGCAAAGCAAAGTTGCTACAGTAACAGTATTGTTATTCAATGTCAAAAGCCTTCGTTGTTTGCGTTTGAATTTCGACATTTGTTATTGAAAGTATTACAAATATAAACAATGAAATATACCAATACTAATATTATACATGTGAAAGTTTAGAAGATGGATGGATGGATGTTTGTTAGAGTTTGTATTCTAAACTGCTGGACGGATCTCGATTAAATTTGGCATACATGTAGATGATTGTCTGGAGGAACACGTAGGATATTCACTTTTGTTTTTTTTTTTCAAATTCACGCGGACGGAGTCGCGGGCGAAATCTAGGATGTATACAAATAAATATTTAATGGTCATAGTACTTTAGGCTTTAAGAATAAAGACAGGAATGATCTAAATGAAAATAAGTGAAATGTCACATAAGTTAGTAAAACGCCTAGCAGTTCACTTCCATTAGTATAAGTGCCCGTCTGGTTGTGGCTTAATGTACCGTTTGAGCTCTTAAATGGATGTGGACCACAAGCCTACATACGAATTTTACCATTTTCTTTACTCTATTATTTTACTACTAACTTTTGCAATTTCGCAAGCGTGAAATTAAAAAATATAACCTATGTTACTCACTGATAACTGATATATTTTTTTTTAAATCGGCCCAGTAGTTTTTTAGTATAGATAAACGACGTTTAGTTTATAATAAAAAAAATTGTTACAACTGTATGAGTAATCAAGGATCAAGGTATTAGATAGAGGTACATCAGGATAGAAGAGAATTTGTAAGAATAGAATAGAAAGTTGACACGATTTATGGAAATTACTGAAATGACAAGTGCTAGTTTTGGAAGACACTAGCTCAGGTTTTTCCCATTACGCTGATCGGAAAGTCAATTGACCCAATGGGATTTTTTTTTCTATCAATCGGCGGGCAGATCAGTCCAACGGGAAACGGGAGAGAAGAGGCAGAAAGTAAATGATCATACATTAATTAACGTTTAATTACTGAATCGACACCGATGCAAAAAGTTCATACACGTTAACAACGATAAACGGCCTTAATTAAAAGCACAATAAATCATGTGCAATGCAGTTTCCACGCAGTAAATTGTGAAATACGCTACTCCTGTCCTTATCAGCAGTCTATAAAAGTGTAGCATTTCACTTATTTTTTTGTACTAAAAATTTTAATGTATACAATTTTTGCTAAAGGCGTTCTGATATATCCTATAAACAAAGGCCGGAGTAACAGTTTGATGATATTTAGTTTATTTTTTTTAAAGTTACCTCTTAGTGCACGATGTACACACGATGTACACGCAAGATGTACACACTAAAGCACACCTTTACAGGCGTAAATGCTATGTTTTTCTAGTAAGTCCATATCTATGCTCCATCCATATTGTATAGAGGAAAGATTAGTATTCTTGTGTGTAGTGAAATATTCAATAACTACTGGTTTGACTTTCAAAATTCTTCCACCTTTAGAAAGGTAATTTATCTGTGAGTAACATAAGCTATGCTTTTCTATATTTTTCAATTTTACGCGGATGTAGTCGCGAGCAACAGCTAGTACAGCATAATTAAAAAGATTATTATTTTACAAGACTCTCCTGAATAGTTTTCAAATTGTACAATGGCCCTTGTTCACAAGAGCTATAGATTTGAAGGTATATAAATGAATGTATATGTCCTCTTATCAACGCTTCCTCAGCACCGCATCAATTTATTCGACAGAAGATCTACTATCTTACTTCAATCACTATTGAACCATAAATTTTGTTCCTTAGTGTCTTCTATCTACATTATTTTAATTAAAAATGTCCTTAGTATGTTTTCTTAATAATTGCATTGAATGGAAACATTTCTATTAAAATTGATTATATAACTTCCAACTAATTACAATACGAAATAAAAAAGTTTGTTTTTTTAATACAAAAAATAATTGAAGCTCACGCGTCAACAAACGGTATTTACCTCGAAGGGCGCTTAGCCGTGCTTCTATTTTCCTTTTAAACACAACACAGGTAGACCTAAAAGGATTTTCGGATTACGAAATAATGAGAACGCTTGAGTTTACTTTATTCAAAAGGATTTTCATATTAAATAACGTAAAAGTAGTATAGTTTGGACCAAAAAATGTTTAACGAAACAGAGTTTTTGGTTCTTAAATAAATAGAATAATGTGAAATGTAACATCCTTCTGTTGCCTCAATTCGCCATTTGGGATCCCTATACAATATTTTTCGATAAATATAGAGCAAGCATGTACACTTATATCTAAATCTTTATTTATTTAGTAATCAGTTAATCAGATTTATTTTGAACTTTATTAATATAAAGACAATCGAAAAATAAATAACTAGGTGAATTCCCACCCTAAAGTAGAATTTCTAGTTGGATGTCATAGCTTGAAAAATGTACAGGGATTTAAAAAAAAATCAAATTTCCGTCCAATTGAAACTTCGTGCTTGCTACGTGAGAAAAGTCAAGTATTTTACTGATTTCTCTGTACATTTCGGGTATACTGTTTTTTTATACGAAAATGTATATTAAACCATGATTTTAGATGTTACACTTAACGTAAAAAAACATCTTCATCTATACTAATATTATAAAGAGGAAAGATTTGTATTTTTGTATGTATTGAAATAAGTCAAAAACTACTGGGCCGATTTTTAATTCTTAAATTCTTGCACCATTAAAAAGCTATGTTATCGGTGAGTAACGTAGGCTATACTTTTTGCTATTTTTATATAAAACTAGCTATTCCCGTGCGGCTTTATCCGCATGAAATAATGATAATTTAATTTTATTGTTTACATTTGTCAAACTATCAATAGCAAATGTCAAAATAACATGACATGACAAACGTTGTCAATCTTGCTTCCTTGATGTTGGCAGCAACTTCCGGTCTCTCTCCCACATTAGGGTTCTTATCCAAACTATTTACCCCTTAAGATTAATGGCGTGCAAATATGTAGCCTAAAGCGTGATGTATGTGTAGGGCTTTTGATTAAAAAAAAAAATTATTAAAAAATATGCTGTAAGTGCTGACATCTTAGGCAACAAAGAAGTGTGTGTTTACGCTTTATTGTAATAGTGTAGATAAAATGATAATTGGATTAACACATAATATAATATTGAATTGTTTATTCCAACTTAACGTTCACATTTCGTAGTCCATTGAGACTCAATTAATACCTACTCCTGAGTCTATTAATAGCAAACACAACGACGTCGTAAATATTTACAGGCGAGTTCAGACCGTTATCAAGTGGAGCCACCGCAGCTTAGGCAATGATCTGTCTCCAACACGCTTCTAGTTTCAGATACTTAGAATATATTAGGGTTATTACTATAAATAGACAATTATGGAATTCTAGGTACCAGATTTAGCTTCTGGTTAGTACAAAAATTAACCGAGAAATGCCTTAGATATGTAATATTTAGATATTATTAAGTTACTGATTTCATTTTAAATTCCGACAAAAAAAGATATTTAAGATTGATGAAAAGCATGCATTTTAAATTCAAGAAAATTGCAATAAGAAAAAGCCGGAGGGAATTCACTAACGTCCAACTATAGAATTGTACGAGAACATCGTTCAAAAACCTCTTCTCTTAACTGTGAGCGCCTTTTGTTTATTTTTTTCTTTCTTTTGTTTTCATTAATTTAAATTACCGTCACGGTTACCGTTTCTTCTATGTTTTAAGTGTAGTTAATAGGATTGTTAAGTAAAGATTTTATTTTTACTAAACTATTTAGGGAGAAATTTAATTCACGATTCAAAGAAAGGAATAAGAATAAAATTGAAAAAGACCTTTATGTGGGAAAAGGATCTGTCAGATCAATGTTAGAGGCCTTTGTGCATTTTAATTGTGACATTTGCGATTGAAAATTAGACAAATGTAATAATTAAAATAAAGTTATCATAATTTTATGCGGACGAAGCCGCACGGGTACAGCTAGTCCTAAATAAAAAACTAAAAAAAAGAGAAACGCATTATCTTCTCTACCATTTCTTTGCCTTAAAATGAAAGCTTTGAGTGCAACTTTTATGTATTTAAATCTTTTCTTTTAAGTGAAGAAAAAAGCAGCAACAAATGCTTGAAGCTACGTATCGAACGTAAGTCTGCGGTCCGGCGCCATTTACTCGCTTAAACGACACAATAATTTACAGCCCGACGCCCGTTTACACTAATGGAACAAAGTTTTACTGCACTTTGAGAACGGTTGGCCAAACAAAATACCGTGACGTTTGTTACTTTTAAAATTTTGAATAAACCTACTAATATAATCTACTTAAAATATAGTTTTCGTACCAT